CTTGGCCTGCTGTGTTCATCCAGCTCTACACCTTGTTATCTTACATTATATCTGGTCCTTGTTATTTATCTACTTTTAAGCCTGCCAGACCACTCAGAACCTCCATTCTGTTTATGCTAATTTCTTTAATTACATCACAGTTCTCCAATTCCTATATGCATATCGTCCTTCTCTTTATCCAATCCTGTATATCCTTCAACATCCTAGATTTGTTTGTCCCTTCCACTATCTTTATTGGAACATCTTGGCACTGTGCTGTCCTGATTTCCTCCTTAAATGCATCGTCTGTTCTGACACAGATTTACGTAAAAGTACCTGCTCCCAGTACACTCTGGCAAATCATATCTGACCTTATTAAAATCAATTTCCCAGTTTAAAACTTTACCATCCTTGACCTCTTCCGTAACAAGCTTGACTCTAATGGAATCATGATCACTATATGCAAATGCACCTGACTGATACTTCAAATACTTGCCCGGCTTCTTTAGCTAAAATTAAGTCCAGGGCTGCACCCTCTCTTGGTGGGCTTCATGGAATCCCCGCAATGCAGAAAGAGACCATATGACCTATCGAGTCTGCACTGACTGTCTGAAGACCATCCCACCTCCATTCCTGTAATCTAGCATTTACCATGGCCAATCCACCTAATCTGCACATCTTTGGACTGTGGGAGGAAACTGAAACACCTGGCGGAAACTCAATCAGATCAGGAGAACTTATAAATTCCACATAGACAGTCACCCAAAGCTGGATTTGAACCCAGGTCCCTGGCACTGTTAGGCAGCATTGCTAACCATTGTGCACTCACTGACTTCTGGACTCATTTTAAGAATTCTGTCCTCTATAAACCTTTCACACCGTGACAACCCCAGTTACTGCTGGATATTGAAATCTCGCACTATCACTTCTACAGTTGTCTAATATTTGCCTACATACCCACACCTCTAATTGTCTCTGTTAGCAGGTCCCTATAGTACAGTCCCAGCAATGTGATTGCTCCTAGTCATAGACACAACCAGCACAGAAACAGACTGTTTGGTCCAACCTGTCCATACCGAACATAATCCCAAACTAAACTAGTCCCACCTGCCTGCTCCTGACCCATATTCCTCCAAGCCTTTCCTATTCATACATCCATCCAAATGGCTTTTAAATATTGTAATTGTACCTACATCCACCACCTCGTCAGGAAGTTCATTCCACACACGAACCACTGTGTAAAAAAAAAAAAAAAAAAAATTGCCTCATATCTTTTTAAAAATCTCTCTCCTCTCACCTTAAAAATGTGGCCCCAAGTCTTGAAATTCCCCATCTTAGGGAAAAGACAACGACCATCAACTCTATCTATATCTCTCATTGTTTTATAAACTTCTGTCAGGTCACCTCTCAACCTCCTATGGCTCCAGTGAAAAAAGAACCAGCCTATCCAGCCTTTCCTTATAACTCAAACCTTCCATACTCAGCAATATCCTGGTAAATCTCTTCTGAACCCTTTCCAGCTTGATAAAATCCTTCTTTTTACTGGGCAACCAGAACTGGATGCAGTATTCCAGAAGAGGCCTCCCCAATGTCCTGTAAAGCCTCGACATAAAGGCCCTACCCATATTGGCTTCATTTGATGAGCCGTCTAAGATGTCATCCCTTCTTACTGCTGTGATTGATTCCCTGATCAATGTTGCGGCACCTACTACCTGTCTCCCCTGAAGACTGTATATCCAAATGATGTTTTCAGATCACAAGATTTTGAGGGGACTTAACATGGTAGATACTTCTAGGTTATTTCACCTCACGGTGTCATCTAAAACCAGGGATCAAAGTTTCAGAATAATGAATCACTCATTTTAGATTTTTTAAAAAAAATGCGGTTTTCCCTGTGTGTGTGGTGGAACCTGAGTCATTGAATACATCCAACTCTGAGCTGGACAGATTCTTGAACTATAGGGGTGTCAGGAATTATGGGAAATAAGTGTGAAAATGGAGTTGAGGTCAACATTGGTCGTGATCTTATTGAAGGCACAAGAGACAGTATAACATTCTGGCTCTTCCTTCTTATTTTCCATGGTCAGGCAAATTAAGAACATCTGAACACGTTTGCAAGTTGAATTAGCAAATGAGTTACTGATATTGCTTGAATACCATGTGTATGATACAAAAATGATACTTCACCTTCACAGTCAACATTTTGAAACTGTTAATGATGGTTATTAAAAATACATTGCATTCCTTAGAAGTAATGTTGAAAAATATACTACAGTAAGAAATGTTCTCAGCTGTGTTTTTGTATCTCACGTCAGAGAGCAGTAGAGAACCAGTAAAGACTGCATATAATAATGTTAGATGATTACAAGCCAAGGATAGCTGTTAGTACTATCCATCTGTTAAAAAAAAAAATTAACTCCCTTCATAGAAATGTATGTTGAACTGGTATTGCTACTGTCTTTTCCAGCAAAGTTCCAAAAATAACTTGTGGACAGATGGGTTGCAAGACAACCTCAGCAACTAGTTCCCCAATTCAGTAATTCTTCCACGTGAAGGCATCAGGCAGTCAGTCATGGAATATCAGCAGCTGCATAAGACATATGGAATGGATGTCTATCTTCAGTAAAATGTGTACTGCTCTTTGTAGCAGTAACTTCTTTTTTTGTTTTGACTTTCTTCTTTTTAGGGTTTGGAGGAAGGGATATCCCAGATTACCTCTAAAAATAGGGATTGCAATCAATGCTTCGTATGGAACTTTCCAATGGAAATCACATTCAAGAGCACCAATCCATTTGGCTGTAAGTGTCTTTTGTTTTAAATCAGAAAATATTTTACTTTTAAACAAAATATGACAACCTTGAAAACATCACTTAGACATTTCATGAAATAGGAGTGCCTTCAAGAAAAGTTATTTCTAAATTCACCAGTTAAGACAGGATATGATGCAACCTCAGGGTCAGGTGGGACTTGAACTAGACCTTTGACCATGATGTACGGACACGACCACTGTCCTGCAAGACCCTCCACTAATTTTTTTTAAGCAACCTGTTTGGACATGTTATGACATACCTTTGTGACTGACATCCTGATGTGGGACTTTGATCTGGACATTTTGGCCATTTATTGCGGATACAAGTCATTTGAAGCATGATAGCTGAGCACCTAGCTTTTCTTTCTTCTCTTAAGGGCCGCAGATAGTTATAAGTGTGTATGGTGCTGATCTGTTCGGAAATGATGTGGTCCGTGGCTATGGAAGTGTTCATGTTCCCACAACTCCTGGAAGGTGAGTCAGATCTTTCTTTAAAAACAAACTCATGGTTGGTAGTCAAACAATTTTGGAAGCATAGATCCAGTGAAGGAAATCAAGAAATTAGAGCCGCATATAACGTATAGTAATAATGGGCGACTTCAGTTTGCAGATTCTGAACCCAGACTGAAACCTTTCTTGATAGATCATATGTTTTTTCTGATTTTAACAAGATGGTCTTTCATAAAACGTAGACATATAATGTTGCAGATTCAGATTTAACAATAAAACAGAAGATTACATGAGGTAAAATAGAATAAACCAAACTATTTACATACAACACAAATTTAAAAATTTTGAAGCACATAGTAAAATCCATAATCTCATTAATCTCAAAATCTCTCCTTTCACTACTCTCTCCAGAGAGAATTCCCTTCTGTTTCATATCTATAGGACTTAATTTAACTGTGGCCTCAGTGCAGCATTTTGAAAATCTGATAGCCTCTTCCTGGAGCCTTTACATAACTGAGCTTAGATCACCTCAGTTTCAAATAACCCCTTCAGAGTTGTAACCAACAGTTCGAGACAAGAAGTGCATAAACTAAACTTACACTGAAGTAAACTATTTAACTGCCCTAAGCTAGCTCCCTTTCTCAGGAGTAACTTTTACATACAGTGAGTTCTGTTATAATGTGATAGTTCCATTCTTGTGTGATCTTGCGTTATAAGAAAATCGCGCAATAGCCACACCATTTAAACTAATGGGGCTGGAATTGCATTATAGCCAATACAGGTAAGGAAAGTTTACGTTATACAAATAGCAGTCTAAATTCTTCAATTGCATTAAAGAAACATGTGTTATAGCAGAACCGACTTTATCCAGTTTCAGCCAAGACTTCAGCATTTCTGCTCCAAACAAACTAAAAAGCATTTTTTTTCTAAAGCTATGGATTTCCCACAAGTCCCCAAAAATTTCCAGAATCTTCTATCTGAAAGCCTTCAATATAATATCTAAAATATTGCAGGTGACACAAAGCTGGGTAGGAGGATTGAACTGTGAGGAGGACATAGGGTTGCTTTAGTGTAATTTGTTGAGTGAGCGGGAAAATGCATGGCACATGAAATATAATGTGGATAAATGTCCACTTTTTGGTAGCAAAAATGAGCAGATTATCTTAATGGCAGTAGATTTGGAAGGGAGAAAGTACAGTGAGATTTGGCTGTCCTTATACAGGTGAAGAAGCAAATGTCATGTTGGCCTTCATCGTGAAAGGATTTGACTAAAGAAGCAGGATGTCTTGCTGCCGTTGTATAGTGCCTTGGTAAGAACACTTCTGGAATATTGTGTGCAGTTTTGACTATGGAGGAAGTGCAGCAAAGGTTTACCAGACTTATTCCTGGGATGGCAGGGCTGCTTGAGTTTAGAAGAATGAGGGGGAATCTCATAGAAACTTATAAAATTCTAACAGGACTAGACAAGATAAACCTAGGACGTTCTTGGTGACTGGGGAGTCAAGACCTATGTGTCACAGACAAGGATACAGATAGACAATATGAGAATGAGATGAGCAATTTCTTCAAACTAGAGTGGTGAGCCTGTGGAATTCTCTGCCACAGAAAACAGTTGAGACAGAAACATTGAATGTTTTTGAGAAGGAGATAGACATAAAAATTATATTTCCGTGGAGAAAATGGGAATGGGATACTGACTTGGATAATCAGCTACAATCATATTGAATTTTCTGTGCTTCCCAATGTAATAAAACTCCCATTAGCATCCCCAAACACGCACTGACTACTTTAAGAAAAAAGAATGACCATGGCTACAGAAATATCTGTAAGTTAATCATTAACATCATACCCTCACACAGAAAACCCATATGCCACTAGTTCAAAATTCAATATTACAAAATAAATTATATGCAATATATCTCAATCACACATCCTGCATCATAAGATACTGGGGAAACTTAATCAGTGCGTAGGCTGCAGAGGATGAATTCCTGGAGTGTGTATGCACTGGATTTCTAGAGCTACATTGAAGAGCCATCTAGCGATCTGGTTATATTTTAGAATTGAATAATGAGAAAGGGCTAACTAATAATTTTGCTGTAAAGGTGCCTTTGGGAAGTTGTGAACATAATAGAATTTTACACTATTTGATTTGATTTAATTTTGTCACATGTACCAAGTACAGTGAAAAGTTTTGATTTGCATGGAATACAGGCAGATAATAACATACAAGGACATACAGATCATGGAATGATTGAACAGAATGAGGCATACAAAGTTATGGCTGCACAGGAAGAGTACTAAAGCAAGATCAACATTAGATTTGAAATCTGAGAGGTCCATTTAGCAGTCTAATAACAGCAGGGAAGAAGCTGTTCTTTAATCTGTTGGTACATGTTTAAGCTTTTGTATCTTCTTGATGATGTTGGCTGCCTTTTCACAACAATGAGAAGTGTAGATAGACCATGATGTAGTTAATTCTGAAACTGAAGTCTTAAACCTGAATAAAGGAACCTATGAAGGCAAAATGGCAAGTTGGCTACAGTGGTTTGGGAAAATAACTTAGAAGATTTGATGGTAGACAAGCAATGGTTAATATTTAAAGAAGTTTTACACAGTCTGCAACAAATATACATTCTTCCAAGACAGAAAAACTTAGAGGAAAAGGTGAATCAGCTGTGGCTAACAAAATAAAAGTTAGATTGCATTAGATCAAAGGAGGTGAATTATAAGGTTGCCAGAAGAAGTGGTAAGCCTAAGAATTGGAAGCAATTTAGAATTCAGAGGATGAACAAGAATCTGATAAAGAAAAGAATGAGAGAACACAAATGCAAACTAGCAAGAAACCTAAAAGGTGGACTGTAAAACATCTCTATGTACGTGAAACCAAGAAGATATTAGCAGGGATAAATGTGAATCTGTTATAGGCAGACAGAAGAATTTATAATGGAGAATTAGGGAAATGGCAGAAAAACACAATTTTTTCTGAAGAAGAGTGCCGACCCAAAACGTCAACTTTCCTGCTCCTCCAGCTCCACATTGTGCTATCTCTGACTCCAGCATCGGCAGTTCTTACTATCTCATAATTTACACAGTGTTTATCTTCAGATGAAAATATAGAAACCTCCAAGAAGTACTATTGAACTAAGACATGATTATGAACAGCTCTCAAAATTATGGACTAAAGATTCATAAATCCCTCTGGTCCAAATGAGGGATTGCTGAGAGTGTTGAAGGAGGTCACCACAGAGATAGTAGATGCATTGGTGGTTATCTTTCAAAATTCTACAGATTCTGGAAAGGTTCCTGCTGACACAATTTTATAAGTTAAGAGGGAGAGTAAATGTTAAATAACAAACTTTGCAGTTTGAAGTCATTGTAGGGAAACTTTTGAATGTATTAGAAAGGAAGGGGTAACTAAAATACTTAAGTGATCTGATTGGACAGAGTCAGCATGGAATAATGAAAGGCAAATAATGTTTGTCAAACTTTTTAGTGAGGTTAGGCAAGTGTGACAGCGCTTGACAACAAGTCTGCATTTGACAGAGTGTGACAACAAGGAGAATTAGAGTCAAGGGGAATTGCGGGAAAGCTCTCCATTGGTTAGATTCATACCAAGCACAAAAGAAAATTGTTGTGGTTGTTGGAAGTGAGTAATCTCATCTTGGAGACATTTCTGCAAGAGTTCCTTAGGGAACTCCCTCAGCCCAATCATTTCAGCTGTTTCACCAATGAACTACTGTCAATAGTAAGGTCAGAAATGGGGATGTTAGCTGATGATTGCACAATGTTCACCATTCATGATTCCTCTGACAATGAAGCAGTCCATGTCCAAATGCAAGAAGACCTGGACAATATCCAGGCTTGGGCTGAAAAGTGGCAAGTAACATTTGAGCCAGGCAGTGACTCTCTCAGTTAGAGACAATCTAATCACTGACCCTTAAATATTATGTAGCATTACCATTGCTGAATTCCCCATTATCAACCATTGACCAGAAATTGAACTGGACCTGCCATACAAATACTATAACTGCAAGAGTAGGTCAAAGGCTAGGTGAACAATACACTTCTGGACTCCCAAAAGCCTGACCACCATCTACAAGGCACAAGTGATGTGATGGAATTCTCTTCAGTTGCCTGGATGAGCAAACAACATTTAAGAAGCTTGACACCATCCACGACAAAGCAGCTCACTTGATTGGCACCACATCGACAACCTTCAGTCACTCTACCAATAGTGCTCAATAGCAGCAATGTGTACTGCCTACAAGATGCACTGAAGAAATTTGCCAAAGATTATTAGACAGCAGATTTCAAACCAACAACCATGTCCGTCTAGTAAGGACAAAGGCAGCAGATACATGGAGACACAACCACCTGCAAATTTCCCTTCAAGCTCCTCACCATCCTGACTCTGAAATATATTGATGTTCCTTCACTGTCGCTGGGTCAAAATCCTGGAATTCCCCTGATGGTATTCTGGGTCTATCTGCAGCAAGTGGACCGCAGCAGTTCAAGAAAGCAGCTCACCACCACCTCAAGGGCAATGAGGGGTGAGGAGTAAATGCTGGCCCAGTCAGTGACACCCATGAATGAATTAAAAATAATAATTTTTGAAGCTGTTACTTGCAATAAATATAAAGGATGTGGTGTTATTTGGATTTTCAGAAACCTAATGACAAAGTCCCACATGTGAGGCTAATAAATTAAGGTACATAAGATGATACTGGTATATATTGAGAATTGGCTAACTGACAGAAAACAGTAGGAATAAATGGCCTGTTCTCAGGATGGTAAGCTGATACTAGTGGGCTGTCACAACGATCAGTACTGTAGCCACAGCAGTTCACAATTTGTATAAATTATTTGAATGTTGGGACCAAGTGTAGTGTTTCCAAGTTTGCTGATGACAAAAACTAGGTAAAAATATTAAAATTATGAGGATATAAGGAGGCATCAAGGGAATTTGAACCGTATAAGCAGATAGAATATATTCTGAATAAAGTAATCTTACCCTTTATACTGAGACTATGTTTTGCTGGCTTTAAACTCACCAACTGGTGCCGTATCCAATCTGCATTCAATATATCATGCCCTGTTATGCAATTTGGTAGGAAAGTCAAAGTATTTAGGGGCAGTACAGTGACTCACTGGTTAGCACTGCTGCTTTACAGTGCCAGGGATCCGGCTTCAATTCCAGCCTCGGGCGACTGTGTTTGGAGTTTGTACTTTCTCTGCGTGGGTTTCCTCCCATGTCCAAAGATGTGCAGGTTGAGTGGATTGGCCATGGGAAATGCAGGGTTACAGGGATGGGATGGGTCTGTAGGGGTATGCTCTTCAGAGGGTTGGTGTGGACTTGATGGGCTGAATGGCCTGCTTCCACACTGTAGGGATTCTATTCCTTAAAATGGTGAGAGGGCAGGAAGTGTTGATGTCTAAAGGGACCTAGATATCCTTGTTACGAGTCATGAAAAGCATTTAGGTGCAGGAAGCAATAAGAAAGGCAAATTGTATGTTGGCTTCCATTGCAAGAGGTTTTGAGTGCAGAGGTAAAGATGTTTTGCTGCAATTGTATCAACCCTTGGTGAGACTATACCTGGAGGTAGTTCTACTATAATAAGGGTTTCGTTGACACGATTGAACTGTAATGCGATTGACGAATAGTGGAGACTGTTTGGAGAATGCAGACTTTCTGCTGTACAGGGGTAGCGATTTTCTATAGTGCAACGTCACACAAGAACACAACTATCGCATTATAGATGAACTACTATATCGTATACAGTTTTAGTGGTCTTAAAAAAAAAAGGATATAATTGGAATAGAGGGAGAGTGCAATGGAGGTTTACCAGACTAATCCCTGGGTGGCAGAACTGTTTTAAGAGTAGAATTTAAAGGAGACTATGCTTCATTCAGAGTTTTGAAGAATGAGTGGTGATCTCATTGAAACATACAAAATTCTAACAGGACATGATATGTTGAATGTAGACAGGATATAGTCCCTGGTTGGTGAGTTTAGAACCAGTGAACTTAGTGTCATTATAATGGGCAAGACATTAGAATCAAGATGAGGAATATAATCACTTGAGATTGGGAATTCTGTATCCCAGAGGGCTGTGGAGGCTCATCATTGAGGATGTTTAAGACAAAAAAAAAGGTAGATTTCTGGATTCTAATGACATAAAGGGATGTTGGGATAGTGTGGGAAATTGGGGTTGAGATAGGTGATCTGTCATAATCAAATTAAATGGCAGGGCAGGCTTGACATGTTGAAAGGTCAGTTCCTGCTCCAGTGTCAGAATCTGAAATAGTATGTGCGAGTTAGTTACTGGTGCCAGTTGTTGGGATTTATGATGCTGCTTTACGTCCCTTTATTGATGATGATAATAAGGTGGATGGATTATGTTAAGTTGTCCTGTTTTGTTACTAAATAAAAAGGATGATCCTGGGCAATACCTGTCCTGGAAGCTTGGCAAGTAGGGCAGTTAGCTCCAGTATGAAGCTTCTTCAACATCATCGGCTGTCAAGACCCAAAGCCTTTGCCATGTCCAATGCATTAGTTTTGTTTTTGTTGATTTTCTGTTCGTGAAATAAATTGAAAAATCACTTGTAAAAATTGGTGTATTTCTTGCAGCAATCAATGTCATTGATTGTAGCTCCTACAATCAATGTGAACATAAGCAGTAGTGTTGTTGGATCCGACATTTGGAGATACTGGACTGACAGGCCTATATTCGTTAGTTTAGAAAAATATGGAGAGGTCTCAGAAACCCATAAAATTCTACCAGAACTAGACAGTAAACATAGGAAGGATGTTCCCAATGACCAAGCAGTTTAGAAACAGCGGTCACCGTCTAAAGGTATGGTTAGGCCATTTACCACTGAGATGAGAAGAAATCTCTTCACTCAGAATGTGGTGAGTCTGTGGAATTCTCTGCCACAGAAAGTATTTCAGACCAAAAACATTTAATCTTTTCAAGAAAGTGAAAGTGACTGATCCCTTTTAGCCCAAAAGACTAGATCTAAGATTCTTGAGTAGATTTGTAGCTCAGGTTACGGATGCTGTGGTTGGACGAGTGAGTATTGGTCATGTCTTTTTGTTGCTAGTTGGGGTTCATGGTTCCCACAACCATTGGGCATCAGAGTGGCTCACAAACCTACGTCAACCGCTAACTTGAACCAAAGACCCCTGACCCACTGTGGACAGAACCAACGTAATATACAAGATTCCATGCAAGGACTGCAACCAACATTACATTGGGCAGACAGGAAGGAAACTGGTCACAAGAATGCATGAACACCAACTAGCAACAAAAAAAATGACCAGTACTCTCATCTCCACTCACACGGATAAGGAGAACCACCAGTTCGATTGGGACAACATCAGGATCCTAGGACAAGCCAATCAGAGACAAGCACAGGAATTTCTAGAGGCCTAATTCTCCACCAAGAAGGCCGTCAATAAACAGCTGGAATTAGACCCTATATATACACACCACTGTGAAGGAAAACAGGAAATGAGGTAATCAACTCCAACAGACCTGAGGGGTTAAATTCCAGGCGGGAAAACGCAACAGCACTTCATCAGAGGCTGCACTGATGTTACCCAGCAGGGTAATGAAACATCTGCGAACTAACAAACTCGCTTGGCGAGCAAACCAACCACACTATCTAAGAATTTGGGGTGAAAGCAGAATCAGGATGATGAGCCATGATCACATTGAATGGTGGCACAAGCTCTAAGGGTGAAGTGGCCTACTCCTGTTCATATTTTCCAAATTTCTATTACTCAGTAAAGGAGGCTTAATGCCTAGTTATGGTCTAATCTTGTATAAAAGGTATAATTAACATTTTAAATGTTTTCAATATTCATAGAATAATACAACTTTACAGCACAAAAAAGTTTAAAATGACATATTATTTGCATTGGCAATTTATTTTGGGAATTTGTTTTTATTTGTAGGCATAAAAGAACTGTTCCAATGTTTGTCCCAGAGTCTTCATCTAAGCTGCAAAAATTTACAAGGTAATTACATCTCTGGATGTCATAATTTAGTCAGGTCAGTTCCAAATAGAATATTAAAGCGTTGTACTAAGGTTTTTATGCTTGTACTGTCATATCTATTTAACAATTTACCAGCGTTTTTATTTTTGATTACAAATGATCAAAAACTTCCGTATTGATTTGTTACCTCCCATCTTTTGAGCTGCTTCATCCTCCTGTCCCTCCCTTGAACTATTTCCAAATGTACAGTAACAATCACCTCAGACTGCGGTGGTTCAAGAAGGTAGTCCGAAAGCATCTTTTGTGGGCAGTTGGGAATGGACTAGTGGAAACAGGGTGCCGAGTTGGATGATAACCAGTGATCATATCAAATGGCAAAACAGGGACATGGGCCTGGTAGATAAAAACTGATGCCTTTGTAGCAGCTCTCCATCTCTTGAGAATCATGCAATATCTGACTGCTTGTCAGTGTTTGGATTCAGCAACATTTTCCAGTGGTGTTGCAAGTCAGGTCCTGGCAGAATCCTCAATGGACATTCAGAACATGGCAGTTCTCTGCCATGGATAGTCCTGCTCCACAATAATGGGTTACTGATGGATGATTAGCTGAAACCAGGTGAGGTATAAATGCCTACAGTTGAGTCCTAAATTGGCATTCAGGCTTTTAAGTAGATGATGGTACTGCAATTTTGAAAATTCTAGGCCTCTGCCTTGTTTCTCAATCTGTGTTGCATGTCAGAACAGCCCTAAGGAGGTATCCCTCTAATCATACTTGGTCTTGATTTAGTTATAGTTTGTTAAAATTCCACCAATGTATTATACTGTTTGCTCACATAAGTGAGAGATTGGAAAGCAATTGAAGCAACAAATTGAAAAAGACTTGTCATAGGAAAGATAAATTGGTGTACAAGCTGGTAAAGTTGAAGCGTGAGAGGGAACTTAATGCAAATAGAGCTAAACGTGTGCATGTTAATCAATAAAATAGGGATAAATTAGTGTCTGGATTGCTAATGACAAACCTGTTCACCTCAATAACAGAGGGAGTTCATTTCCCCAAATTTTAGATTGAGTTGTAAGTGCATTAACACAATAGAATAATGATCTGCAATATGGCAGCGACAATAATCCCAAATGCTGAGGTTTGATGCAATACTGATAGTTCCGTTTGATCAAATTATGATTGTAACAAACATCTGAATTTTTCAAATGATGGGAAATTTCACTTTTAAAAATTTGGTAATATTCTTGTTCTGTACTCTAACAAGAGCACATTATCAAGAACCTTGGAATAGTGAATTAAAATATGACTGTGTCCTTACAACGTGTCTTTCTATGATGTAGACTAAATTATTTCCATGCATTCTTTTCTGTTGCATTGTGGACATTTGAGACTCCACATTTTGTGAATCTCAGTCAAGATTTATGCTGAATTTTTACTTGTCTCATGAAGTGTTTACAAGCATATGACATTTTCACTTTCTGCCTTTATTTGCATATTGAGTAGCAGCCATGATTTGCAAGAACATGATTACATTTACCCATGCATGCTGCTTAGGTTTCTGGAGACAGTTTCAGTGGATCTATTATTTTAAGGATAATGGAAGCTTGGCTGAGAATCCTAACTGAATTATAGAAAACTGCTTCCTGTATTTTGAGTCCTAGTTTTTTTCCAACAGTAATGCAATAAGGGGTTTGAACTGGCATTTTTATTTCTTTTAAAACCTAATTTTCTAACTCTCAATTGATTTTATTACAGCAATACAAAACATCCTCTAATATTTTCCAAAGTCTCTTCATTTTTGTTTAAATAGTGAACACTGCTGAGCTATTTTATGACAAGGTGCAGCACAAGTGGTTAATTTGATAAGTCACACACTGGGTTCAATTCTCAATTCAAGCCCAAGTGTGACCTGTCTTTGTGGCAGCAGAAATGGAACTCTTGAGGTCTGCATTCAAGTCCCACCTACTCCAGGAGGTGTGTAACAACTCAACAGGTTTGTTTAAAAAATTACACATGACGGGCTGTTTCTATAAGAGGCAATCTGTCAGAATTCTACCTGCATGGAAGCTCAGGGAACTAGCCAAATTAAGAGTTTGCAGACCATCTCCAACTTGCTACAATGTAGCAAATGTGAATTGACAGAAGGAATATCTTCTCCAACTTTTAAAGACATGACTTTCCTTGGACCGTTATCAGAGATTATGACACTACACAATGTTTTGTTCTTTTTGTTTAGCTGGCTCATGGGAAGGCGCCCAGAATTTACAGATCCTAAAGTGGTTGCACAAGGAGAAGGAAGAGAAGGTTTGAGTCAATGAATATTTTCAGTTTACACGTTACCAGTGAAACTGCTCTGCTGCACAGGGCTGGTAGCTTCATATCATCAAATTATGTAATTTGACAAGCAGTGACTTCTGAATGTTATACACACTAGGGAAAATGATGCCTTTATAGAAATGATATAGCACATGGACTATCACAGTAACGGTTTTATAGCATCTTGTTTGATTTTTGTTCAGATTCTTTCCCTCACACTGCTCTGACTCCCAAAACTGGAGTGAAGTTCACCGCTTATGTTTGCCCCAGTTTGGAATGGGGTTATCAGGCTACAGTTAAAGGTACATAAAATCCCCAGGACCTGACCCGGTGTACCCCAACTTTGTAGGAAGCTGGAGAAAGATTGCTGGACCCTTTGCTGAGATACTTGTATCATCTCCGGCCATGGCTGAGGTGCCAGAGGGTGACTGATGTGGTGAGGAACTACAGACCTTTGGGCCTGAGGGACAGGATTTACATGCATTTAGAAAGGCAAGGACTGATCAGGGACAAATCAACATGGCTTTGTGCTTGGGAAATCATGTCTCATTAACTTGACTGAGTTTTTGAAGAGGTGACAAAGAAGATTGATGAAGGCAGAGAGTGGTAGATGGTGTCTTTATGGACTTCAGCAAAGCATTTGACAAGGTTCCACACTGTAGACTGGTTAGCAAAGTTAAAGAATATGGAAGGGGGGGGAAGAAGCTAGCAAACCGGATACAAAAGTGGTGGATACAAAAAGTGGCTTAACTGTAGAAGACAGAGGGTGGTGGAGTGTCGTTTTTTGGACTGGAGGCCTGTGACCAATGGTGTACTGCAAGGATCAGTGTTGGGTCTACCATATAAATGATTTGGAAGTGAATATAGGAGGTATGCTTGGTAAGTTTACAGATACCATCAAAATTGGTGGTGTTGTGGATAGGGAAGAAGGTTCTCTCAGAATGCATTGGGCCATCTGTTAGAGTTTGATTTAGATAAATGTGAGGTGTTGCTTTGGTAAGGCAAACTAGGGCAGAACTTATACACTTAATGGTAGGGCCCTGGAGAGTGTTGCTGAAGAAAGAGACCTAGGGGCACAGGTAGACAGGGTGGTGAAGAGGGCATTTGCTACAATTGCCTTCATTGGTTGTCAGTGCATTGAGGATAGGAGTTATGTTGTGGTAATACAGGACAATGGTGAGGCCACTTTTAGAAAACTGTGTACAATTCTGGTCACCCTGCTGTTGTTAAGTTTTATATGGTTCAGAAAAGATTTGCAAGAATGTTGCCAGGATTGGGGTTATAGGGAGAAGTTAGAGCCACAGCAGTGAACCAGATGGGCTTTTATGGCAAGCTTCACAGTTATCATTAGACTCTTAAATAAAAATCTGTAATTAATTATTCAAACCCAGGACATTACCTGAGTCTCTGGATTAACAGTTTAGCAGTAATACTAATAAGCTGTTGCTTCTCTGTCACCTCATCTCCACTAATGCCCTTTTTTCCTCATGGTAGGAAGAGAGCATTCCTCTGCAAGCAACAAACAGAACAAGTATTTCTCTGTACAGAAGGATGTAATTAGGTCATGTTTTCACCTTTTACAGCAATCGTTAATGGAATATTTGTTGTTTTCTTTTGCATGTTTAGTTACAAGAGTATTGTCACAAGGCTACGTAACCATCTCTTTCAACATCGTCACCAAGGACTTGAAGAAACTTGGATATGATTCAATCCCTACTAATCAGATATCTGACAATACAGGATTCTAAATACAATGGGAAACAATAAATTGAAAATTGTTGCTACTATTCTGAAATGTGTTTTTTATTAAACTAATTAAGGTCATATTTAGAAAATGCATGTTACTGCCTATAGTCTACTGTTTATAAAATATCAGTGTTACTAGCTGCTACTCAGATTCTCTGATCAGGAAAGCATGTAGTTAAATAGCATGGTCCAAGGACAATATCAGATCCCACATGAATCTAGTTGTAATTCTGCAACTGCAGTCTTCTGAAATATAATTAACAATTGATCATCAGAAAAAAGTTGAGTATACTTTGCAGATGACTTTGACGTCCTTTGCAGATGTAGATATGACCTAGAATTATTCAACTGTTCCGATCAAGATCAGCCATTTTGTATTTCATTCTTTGCTGGATTTTGAGACAAGGAAAAAAAAATTGTCCACCTGCCCTCTCCATTCTGCATGTTGATGATTCATTTGGTTATCCACAAAAAAGTCATCATCTTAAGTATAAAGCTGACCTCATTATGAGCAAGATATATTAGAAAAATCTTCTCCAGGCCATAAAGGTTTCAGCACAATGCCTCACTCTTTTCTCAATTTCTCTCACACTTTAGCTGTGGCTCAGTAGTAGCATTCTTGCTTGACTTCATACTAACCACGTGAAGATTCATCCTGTTCTATATCAGACGTTTTAAATTGGTAAAAAGGATTCCAATGACGACTGAAGCACAAACATCCAACTTCATTAACCAAAAATTGTTTCTTGACTTTTGTTTTTGTATAAAAAATGCATCTGATGAAGCATTAAATAGATTATCCAGTAATTATAGTTGCATGGTACATTTTACATAAAAAAAAACTTACTAAGAAGGTAGGAGTTATCAATAAATTGAGCTCTTTTGGAAACAAATACAACCACAGAATTTGAGTTACTTTCTAGTCATTTTTCTGTTTTTCGCACTGTTAGGGCTATTCTCAGATTTACACATCTGTCAGCAATGAGACTGACAATCATTTTAAAAAATTCAGAATATGGAGAAAACCTTTTGCCTTCTGTGAGATAGCAGAAGTATCATCAATATTATGAATCAAATTGTTCCAGTGTAGGGTACACCAAGATCTTTGTAAAATGGCTCATGGCACAACAGGGATGCACTCAGTCAGAAAGTGTAGCGTGTTCCATGATGTGTGATGGTGATTAAAAAGGTAACAAATAACTTTCGTAACCAAATTTTGCCATCATCAAACCAGAAAAGGTGTTCTGTCTTTCACAGAAATCAGTATTGTGTACAATGCCGAGTACACCCCAATGACTGATGATTCTTATTGTGAAGGCTCAGGACATAAGACCATAAGATCTAGAAACTTCAGTTCTAAAGTGGACCAAAGACTATATGACTATTTGTAATCCTGTATTAGGTGTTAAGAAAGGAATGTCAGTTTGTTTCAAATTTTAATATTTAAGTGTGGCTCTACATTGTCTGGAAATCTGTTAATACACATTTGAATGGGGCTTTTTAAAAATCTCGGGTGAATATTTCAATGCTCAGATACAAATGATTGAGGAGAGAAAAAAAAATGGTCGATTGCCTCCTAATAGGGTGTCCTACGACATAGGAAACCTGTTTCCTTCTCACCCTTTTAATAAAGGAGAACCTTTCAGATGAAGTCTGCAGGTTATCTCTCCCACCCCTACCTCCCTCCCCAAAAAGAGAAGCAGGGTAATCATAGAAAAGATCTGTACCAGCAGTACTGCTAGTTAGCAGTCTCAAAGGTCCAAAGTGGTTTAGAAGTTAGTAGCAGAAAAGGTCAAGAAACAGAAGGCTTTAACAGGTGTCAGACAGGAAGCATCCTACAAGGCTATTGAATGCAGGAATTTCAGGAACACACAGGTTCCTGAAGGTGGAGTACATTTAAAGATCACATGAACAGCATAAGGTAAACAGATTGTAGAAAGAGTATTCTAACAATTTTTTCTAAGTGGTTCAGGAAATTACAATGGCAGGTCACTTGAATATTATGAAAATACAGGCTAAAATGTTAAAACCTTTTTATTGGCCAGGATTACATAAAGTAAAGTAGTGTTGAAATTTTGTCAGCAACTCATCACATCCTGAGGATGTCCCACATGAAATCACAATAAATTATTTAGTTTTGGAGTGCAATCACTATTGTACTGTACCTTTCTCCCCCCAAGCATAACATTTGTTAACACCACTGTCTAATACTTGCGATTAATGTTCAATTGTCAATACTGCAGTTTTATATCTGTATATAATGTGGTATTACATTGTTAATAAGGCATAACAAATGTGGAACTTGTATAAAATTAGTAACCTTCAGCAATATAAATATTCATTTAAGGATTTAAAGAAAATAAATGAAGTATGCAAACCATGGTAACAGATACCAACAATTTAATTTCTTCATTTAAGCAACAGGCCCCTGGATCTTTTCTGCTGTTCAAATGGCATAAACAATAAGATTTTGTGTGAATTGCTACAAAACCAATACATAGAAAATAAAATACAGAACATATGTTACAATAGTACAAATGATAAATTATATTATACAGTAATGACAGTTGAGCACAATACCATAAAAAGCAGCCTGCTTCCAGCATCATGAATGAGATTGGTAGATATACAGAACATAATACATGAAAAGGTAGGTTACTCACCACTATGTGCAGTAGTCCTCATTGTTTAAAAGTAGTTATCCATTGCCTTAAAGTAAGCCAAATAACTGGAAAATTAAAAAATGTTCCAGTCCCTCCTCTAAACATTTCAATGAAAGCCTCAATGATTTGTTTTCCTTGGTATTATACAAGAGTGTATTATCTCTAATTCCCACCTAAAAAACATGTAAATTAACATGTCTAAAGACCAAAACACAGCAACCAATCAATCTCGTGTCTCTCGGAATTCCGTGTTGCTTTGGCTATATTGCGTCCACTACAGTCTGCTCCAGATAATGGTTTGATGGTACTTTAAGAATGCATCAGCTCACAGTTAATTAGAATTGACGCAACAAATCAGTCCAACCTGTATTACAGCAATCGCATATGAAAGTATTAACAACAAAAACAAAACATGAATTTGCTTGCTTGGAGTGTACAGCAATATGAAGACCTAAAATTCACCAGCCAGATCAAATGGATTTCTAACTCTCAGCGAATAAAGTGGAACTCTGAAACCAAAGGCATGGATATGAATCCTGACAGTGTAGAGGACTGTACATGTGGAGTGCTACGTTTTCAATAATGTGCAAAAAATAACATTTGCCATGCTGTTCAATGTATTAATGCCAAACAGATCAGATATACTTGCATTTGAAGCATTTTGAGCTGTTTAGGATTTCAATATATTGCAGTCTGCCAAAGAACAGACACTAGTTTGTCACCAGGTCTGCAACTCTAATATACTGCTTTCAGCTATGTTTCCATACAGCAATATAGAGTAAGTCACCATTCATTCAGCCACAAGAACTTTTTTTCAATATTAGGGTGAGGAGCTCAGAGGCAGCATGCTTACGTATTTTCTGGATGATGCATGGTACGTAACTTGAGACACCCCAGGCAGACAAAAGTGATGAAGATGCACACTCGATTGCTCAAAGCTAAAAAGCTATGTTTCCATAGGTTCCAGAAAGTATTTTTATTCAAGTTTTTCCCTAATTTTCTGCATTTTAAGTAATGCAAATCAATAGTCTAATTGTTCTGAACACATGACTTCCATGTCATCTACTTTCAGTAAAACATACTTCTACTTCATGTCAATTAAAGAACACTGCAAGTTGGCTTGAATGTTTCTAAATAAAAATGCAGAGAACTGAATTAAAGCAATTATAAAATTAGCACATACTGTATCCTAGACCAAACCTACACAAACTTAAGTAAAATTGGAACTATTATAAATGTTTTTTTTGTGAAGGAGTGCAAACAGTGAAAACGTACTGATGACTGAGGTAGTTTTTCTGTGACCTTGCTGCTCAATGTGAGCGTAAATCGTTTTCTTTTTGCCTTCAGATGGGGCAATTAACTTGTTTTCTGAAACCTGGTTTCTATAAACATCTCCATGCAAAGTATTTTGTAGAAATCTTTTCAGATTCACTAAAGAAATCTACCACATCGTTTATACTTACCTAGGTTTTCTCCAGTCTGATTGCATATAAAGGTGTAAATATGTAAAATTAGTGAAATGTAGATACACAACTAAATAAATACACGATAATGACCTTGGATGTTAAGAAAGAAAAGTGGCAGTTGATCATTTGGCTTCTCAAGCCTGTTCCATCATTTTATAAAGTCATGGATGATCTGATTGGTGTCCTCAACTCCACTTTTCTGCCTACCCCTAACTCCCTTATTAGTCAAGGATATCTAATCACAGAAATATTATGTTTTGCACTTTGACTAACAAAGAGTTTATTCCTAAATGAGTTCATACCAACAATTAAAACTGCCATGGTCAGCATGAATATGTAGAATATTGCATCTTGGAGGAGCGCATTTAGCCTTGGAGCTACCTTCCAGGATTTCCTAAAACCTGGTGAGAAATTGGGCAAGAACAATCACTCAAGAGATCTAATTTCATGCTTAGCACGAATGCATGCAAATGGGTTTGGCCTCATCGATTCTAAATAAGTAGTTTGCTACAGAAAACAGACAAAGCTGAAGTAGGAACTGAAAATGGCTTAAGTATGAAGATTAGAACATGTGGAAAAATAAAGACAAGTGTACGGATGTAGAGTGTTAGCCTTCATTTCAGCAAGGACAATTCATGTAGGTTTCAATTGTGAGGGCTTTCTTTGATTTTCCAGTTCTATGGCTTACTTAATTCATAATGTGGTAAGGATATTGAATAGTCAAGGATGCGCATTTAGGAAGTATTAACAATGTAAGTGATCAAATACCTACTGTACAGCTCCCTGTAGTAAAATTAATACATAACTACAGTACACATGAAATTATACAAGTTGCAGGTGACGGACTACATTTACACTGATGCGGTTATGTAATAGAATGACTAAGTTTTTACAGTACATGAAAACAGTTGTTGATACAAATCTTACCAGAAGCTTTGTATAAATTTTAGTGACTACATGCAAGACTATACAAGTTGTGGATGCGTTCTTAGCATGCATACTCTCTCTCACTCACCAGAACTCCAAGAACACAAATTCAAAATATCTTGACTTGTACAATATAAACACATATGGTAGATCAAACAGGGTCACATTCCAAATGAATTTGTTTAGCATGAATTGTGTACGTGGTATTTCTGTGTTTGGTATGCAGATCACCACTTTGTATCAAAAAATGCACACGTGTGTAAAAGTAACTCGAAAATCAATACTTATTAAAAAACTGGAGAATTCTAAAGTTATATAATTTTCTATACTTGTATTGACAGTAAGGACATTAAAAAAATAAGGTGCACACCAGTGTAGCCTGTATATGCTAAAACTAAACAAATTAGTTTGACACGAACAATTATTCCACATCCATATTTTAAATTAAAGCAAATAACGTGATTGCTAAAATCTGAAACAAAAACAGCAAATGCTGGAGAAACTCAGCAGGTCTGGCAGTACTAGAAACAGAGAAACTAGAAAGAGAAACAGAGTTGGCGTTGAGTCAAACATGGCTAATTCTGAAGTCATATTGGACTTGAAACATTAACTGCTTTTTTCTCAACAGATGCAGTCAGACCTGAGTTTCTGTAGCAATTTTGCTTTTTATTCCACACTTTAAATTATTTACTGTGAGTATTTTCTTCTTCACAGCCTGTTGCCTCTATCTAAGCAAAATGAAATCAGTCGGATCTCTGCATTTCACTTCAATTTGGATGACAGGTGACACAGAAAAAAATTAAGCTTCTGAATGCATATCTGAGCAGGAGGAAAAAAAAAGCCACAGATTATTCACATTAGTTATCCAAAGTGAGTATGAAATCTTTTACATGCATGCAAAAAGTGTAAAATGGGAAGTGGAAACTGACACTCACATTGAACACCATGTGGAGCTGGAGGAACACAGCAGGCCAGGCAGCATCAGAGGAGCAAGAAAGTTGACGTTTCGGGTCAGGACCCTTCTTCAGAAAAAGGGTCCCGACCTGAAACGTCAACTTTCCTGCTCCTCTGATGCTGCCT